CAAATCTGGACTAGGTTTTATGGACGGTTCTTGCACCACCTCTTGCGTTTGCTTCGCCTGTCCTCCTGCATCTATCCCTAGTGAGCTCTGGACCCGCAGCCCTCGGAGAATGTGGCGTCGGCATGGATGCTTGTAGAATGGTATCCAAAAATCCACAGACGCATACCCTGAACATATACAGTATACATCATATAACGTCCTGCATGTGTATATAATATGTATATATATATATAACCAGACATATGTGCTGTGGCTACGGCCCCTCCAAGCTGCGGAGTCCCTTGTTTTCGAAATGATGTTTGACAGTATCGGTATGTATCGGTATTTGTTCCTTTTCCTTTCTTGTCACATAAGATTAGTTACCTATCAGAACCGTCATCACCATCTGTATCATCACCGGTGTTCCCTACTAGACGCGTGCAATGAGCATGCATGTCAAAAGTTTGTACGCATGTAGGAGCTGGAAACACGCAAATATCAGCTCACCATGTGCTTTTGCATGTTAACAACGTACGAGTTACAGTATGCTGTTGACTCTGGTGTCCAGTTTGCCACTTCAGCAGGTGTGAGAATCTAGCATTGTTTGCCGGTCAAAATTATACCGTGATTTTGCTCCTCTTCAGCAACCCCAATAAGCGCATAGTTAGTATTGCCGTGGCAGGGTCAACTGAGAGCTGTAGGAGCCCTGGCGGGACATTGGGTGAAACATGGGTGAAACATCACGGAAAGACTAGTTAACTTAAACTACATATCAAGGGAACACTGTCCAAACACCAACTTTTTCTGATTCGACTGTCATTGAATGGGCATTACACATTAGTTGCGTTAACATTGAAAACGGATATTACTGAGCAATATTTCAACATCAGCCAGGTTTTGGGTATGTAGCATTTGATTGTTTTGTCAACTTAGATTTGGATGCATATCGAGTAGCTCAACTATTGAACGTACATCAAGTAGCTGCCAGTATAAACATACTCCTCTTTCTAGGCTGACAATTAAACAACACTGGACGATCTTACATCTACATAACTTGTTATGTTACTCTAAGCGGTAATGAGGTAGCATGCAGGACGATTCAAATGCGTAATGTTCATGCTATCCAAATAAACTGTTGTGACATGTTGTGACTGCGTGATCAGCGAATACGTTGTTATTGTCGTCTCTATCGTTGTCAATCAAACCAACAGTAGTCTCAAAAAATCATCTAAGGCTTGGCTCCTTTGTATTGTATGATTATCTACTGAAGTGTCATAACACGATTGTCTACTTAAACGTCATTACCACAATGCTTTTTATCCAAAATCGTCAAAAATGAATCTACAAAAACCGCAGAATAAGTCTCACTGAAACGTGTGAAGCCCAGTTACATGAACAATATCTGGTTAACAGGTATGTGCGCGCTGAAACAGCGTATGTTGCCATCGTTGTTGCAGTTGAACACATATGGGTTTGCATACTACACACCATGTCTAAACATTGGCTGAATGCTGATTATAGGCTAACCCGAAACCAACGATCTAACACTCGGCACTGGTATTTTCGCAAGCATGCATGTTTCTGGCCATTACTTGGATACTGTAGGCTTCGCTCATCCCCATGTTTAAATTGCAATTTAACACTCAGGAAATTGTTTGACTGCTAGTTTCTAATGAACAGTAGCTGGATAAGACACCGCTACAACAGCTACAGCGACATGCTTTTTTTGCGTAAGTTTCCGAAAATGTTGAAAGCTCCTAAAGATCTCGCCCCTGCCAACCTGGAGACTTACAATGTTCCAAAACTGAAATCAAAGCCGTTTTGATCTCCAAAAGCTCGGAAAGCTCCGAAAGTTCCAACAGATCAACAATCTCCATGCCAGAAACTTGCACAGACCTTAATCCCATGAATAGGTGCGACCTTTGCGGCTTTTCTATCCGAGTTTGCAAACTTTCACAAAACAAAATTCCAAACTTTCTAAAACGTGAGAACCAAGTACACACGATGTTCCAAAGCATAGGGGCGAACTTGTTGGACATTTTGGAATTCTGTGAACGTTTGGTTGAAGGTTCAATATTTTTTTATTTCCGAAATGTTGGAATTCAGTACACACGATGATCCAAAACATCGGAGCAAACTTCGTGTGAGTTTTTGAAGTGCTGGAAATGTTGGACTGTACATGTGCTTTGATAGCTACAGAAATGTTGCAAATCAGGGCAGGAATCTTTCGGACAAATCAGGGAAGGAATCTTTTGGACAAAAGAGCAACATCGCTTATTGACACGAACCCTGAACCCAGGCAGATGGCAGAACTTTCGGCGGATATAGTACCTGATCAGCTCGGCCGGGCGTGGTTGTTTTTGCGGGTGGCAACATGTGAATACATACATACATACATACATACATACATACATATATACATATATATACATATTTATTTATTTATGTATATATATATATGTACATAAGTGTATGTATATGTATATACACTGACATATCAGGATGCCCAAGTCTGCTGGCCCCGCGGAAAGCCGGATGGAATGGATCTGACGCAGCTGAGCCTTGGAGCCATTTCAGCTTCTTTGCTTGGTCCTTCACGGAGAAGAGGGCGGGATCTCTCAAAACAGCTCGGTAGTCACGTGGGCACCTTGTGAGCTATTGATACTTCGCCTTTTCGTGTCTACTGCAGACGTGAGGACGTCCCGACATCAAAGATCCTTGCACAGCTTGCCCCATGCTGCCAGCAAATATCAAGTTTAATGTTATGTATCGTATATAACGCACGGGCCGTGATGTTGTGCACGTGTTACCCTGTTGCTCGGAGACCCTGATGACCTGACGATGTCCACAGGAAGACAGTGATCCGCTCATGTGGAGTCACGCTCCTTGGCCTGAGACGGAGCACCCTGGACCAGCTAGACCTCGCCGAATGGGATCCAGGTTGGCATGGTTTTGGTTTTAGGTCCAGAATAAGTTTTGCACGTGTATGCACACAAAAACCTACACTTATGTGTAGATATAAATAACATCAGACAAAGCTGGGCGCAAGCTAGTTGGAGCTATCGTGGCCGCAGTACGACTCGCAGCAAAGCTTTGCTAAGTGTGCACTTTGGACTGTGATTATAAGGGCTGACGGTAGGCGATAGATGCATGAGGCTCGAAGCTGCAGCTCCAACACTGCGCTCTACCCCACCCTCGTAAGTTCATTAAACTCCGCGAACCTGGAACTTCTGAACCCCGCCTCGATGCAGTTTGAAGCCTGCCTGGTTGCTCGGAGCACCTATTACTGAAGGCATGTATGGCAGTGCCTCCCTTCTTGAGGTCGCCCCTAGAAGTCCCAGCATGAAAGGAAGCATTTAAGCTCGAACCGGTTCTCGCGGCGAAGCCCTCTGTATTGCAAGTTTCATTATTCGGAGTTTAGGTTTGGCAGAATTTGCCAAGACAGCCATGAAAGAACGCAACGCGTTGATTTCTGATTTCACCCGCACAGCTCTTCACAACTCTTGAGGAGGTACGAGCGGCTGTGGGGCCTGAGCAGCAGTTTCAGAGTGAATTCCCGTCACCTCTTAGTCCTAAAGGTACAGGTCCTATCTCTTCAACACCCAACTGTCAACCCTGACTAAATCCGAACCCCTAACATCAGGGATCCCACAGCCTTCACGGACAGCTGCTTCGTACACCCTAAACTGAGTGACTTTAATTGGCAACTACTGTTGTAGCTCCCCGCCCCTCAGTATTGAAGGGTAGACTATGAGCCAAGTCCAACGCTGAACCGCCACACTTTGGGGCGCGTACCGTACCGTCAAATCCCAAGGCCCTAAACCTCAGATTACCAAGCTGCTTCACCGCCGTTGCCACGCCCGACCCAAGCCCTCAACCTTGCAAACCCAGAGCCCTAAACGCTTACAGCATTACACCCTCGACACCATACCCCTAAACCCTTAAGCACTAAACCCTCAAACTGAAAATCATTCACGCAAATCTCCCAAACCAAAACTACCCTAAACCTTTATTTAGACTGAGAGTCTGAGACGCCTGAGGCTCTTCAGTCGCACGCTGCGCTTGAGCAAGCGGTTTGGGAGCAGCACGGACAGAACCGGTGAGGCTTAGGATTTAGCTTAAGGTTTGGGGCATAGATTTATGGCAGTTTGGAATATGCACACCAAACCTGAACCAGTAATCGCAAACCTGAACCAGTAATCGCAGCCCTAAGAATCAGAACCCCAACTTGCAGAACCTCAGGGCGTTATTACAATGTCGAAGCCATCAACCGATGTTCGACAGGACTTCAAGGCCAAGAATACCTACGGCAGCACGGCCACCTGGATTCGCCCTGCCAACCCTCGGGAGTCCATGAGCCGGACCAAGCACCTCGGATTGATGTGCATTCAGGGCTTTCGGTATAGAACTTCAGCTAGTTTCTGTGGAGGCATGGCGCATCAGGTGTCCGGATTTCAGGGTGCAGGGACAAGTGCGGCGACAGGCCTGCAGCAGGTTTTGTTTCTCTTTCATGGGTCTCATGGCTGCTTTGTCGCTGAAGCTCTTGCTACCAGGGCGCCGAGTGAAGATGCTCGGTTCCAGAAACTGCCAGCTGCAGATTTTTGTTGCCAGTTGAAAGTTTCTCATACTGTTTGGTGCAGTGTTTTAATTGTTCTCGTGATGATCCAATCCACTGAACTATGCTGGTATTATGTAAATCAGGCCATGATCATTAACAGCACGGGTGGTTGATGCGTAGTAGGTGTGTCCATCCAAGCCCTCGCTCCAATGAAGACTCCAAGCCTGTGAGCAGCACACCGATTTCGACGAGGCTTCCGTCAACACTCAAGCAGCGCAGGATTTGGGGCTTAGCATTGCCTGAGATTTGCAAGCCTGTACCCCAAAGTCAACAAAATCTACAGCCAGCTGTGCAAACGAGACACCCGTGTTTGCAGACACTTCCCAAGATCCCAAATATCAATGACTTCACACTGACGAGAGAAAGCATTGGATGGTTGTACAGGCATGTCCGATGCTCAGGTTTGAAAGCCCCCAACCAATCCCGCAGATGCCCAAGCCCAAACCCCAGACTCTAAATACGAAGCCGCACCATGCTGTGAGCGGGTCCAGGCTCCTGGAGACCAACAGCAGCGTCCGCCCAGAAGACTTGGCATCCATGAACACTAGCGAGGCACCGGAGGCCCGGATTGGAGGGGTTGGAAGGGGGAATGATCTTTTAATGCAATGCCTCCTTTACACCTCAAAGCAATGCTGGCAACTATTTAGGATCCTTTAGTCACTGAACCCGAATGATGTTTGGGAAGACTTCTGCATGGGCCAATCAATGCTAGCAGTTTTGAGTGGTCCCAGGAAGGACTAGGATTGAGTTGGGAAAACCAATGCTGAGCATGGCTGAACAGCCTCGAATTATCGAAACTCCTCTGGTTCTGTGTAGGTGAAGTAGCATAGCTCGAACAGTTCAGAAATGGCTTGATCTCGGGGGTGCCGGAAATTAGACCAGATGGAAAACAAACGCAAGACGTGTGCGACTGATGGGACGCAGGGGACTGTGAAAGCAGTACCAACTCCCCTTTCGGGCACACTACTGGGGCAATGATGTGAGAACCCTGAAGCCTAATGCCAACCTCAAAGCCTCAATCCTGAAGCCTACAGCCAACAAAGCTTATTCACACCCTGAACCGCCAACCCCGAGACTGCCCCTAAACAACACCAAGACAGTCCTGCTGCAGCACTGCACAAGGCGCAGCTGAAGTGGGAGGCTCCGATGGAGGCGCTCCATCCTTGGATTGACACCCGAAAAGCAGGCAACTGCCAAAACTAAAGGCCTTCCCACACCCGAAACCACTCCCGAAATCCGGACTCCAAGCTCGACACTTCAAAGTGCGGACAGCTGATATCGACCCTTGGCAACGGGATTTCTTTCTCTCCAAGCTCTGCCAAAGCATCGCTGCAATGGCCCCACACACGAAGTCATACCACGTAAAGGCTGGGTAGTTGCAGGCCTGGGCATGGCCCTCTCTGCTGCTCGCCGTAGAGCCCCAGCTCTCCCAAAAAGGAGTATTACCAAAAACCCCGTAGTTCCGAACAGAGAAACCCTAAGCACCCCATGCCTGGGCACTTCACCCATCAGCTTCTCCTAGGCGGAGTGTGAGACCCAGTTGTACACACGATTGAATTATGCCAACCTGCTTATTATACAACCTTTTCATCCGTTTCTACATTCAGTACCTATGAACCTGCAATTTACATAAACCTTAAATCCGATCGATACCTGCGCAGGATCTTTACTTGGCCTCGTTGGATTTGGGTCCAGCTCCTCGGGTCCAGTTTGAATTCTTTGTCGTTAGTTACAAAGCTCTAACCCGCAATCCGGTGCCCCAATCCTCAGCCCTAAAGCCCTCAACCCAGCTTTTTTTCAACTCTGGCGTCCCCACAAACTGAACCCCATGACCCTCAACCCTACAAACTTCAAACGGCGACCCAGGATCTCGGCCTGAAGACCCACTCCGAGCTAAGGGGCGAGGCAGTGGCCCGGCGGTTGAAGGGCGAACAGAGTGGCGAACAGATGGCAGAGGCAGTGGCCGAGCGGGGTGGGGGTAAGGCTATGCTGCTGCTTCCGCTGCTGCTGCTGCCGCTGCCGCTGCCACCGCTGCTGCTGCTGCTGCTGCTCCTGCTGCTGTGGCTGCGGCGTTGATACTGCTGCTCAAAGCGCTGCCGGTGCTGGTGCTTGCTGCTGCCGCTGCCGCCGCTGCTGGCAGCAGCTGCTGCTGCTGTGGCTGCGATGTTGATGGTGCTGCTTAAAGCGCTGCCGGTGCTGGTGCTTGCTGCTGCCGCTGCTGCTGCTGCTGCTCCTGGGTACTGCAGTGGTGCTGTGGGCCGGCAAGGAGAAAAGGTGGTTTTGGTTGTTTGCTAGATGTGTTGTTGTTTCGGTGTTGGTCGTGTTATGCGCTTTTGGTGCATTCTGGGTTTCAGGTTTCAGGATTCGGGGACTCGCGATTTTGGTTTAGGGTTTTTGCATGTTTCGGTGAGTGGGCGAGTGGGAATGGGGTTCAGTGAGGTCATGGGACTTCTGGCGTTGTGTTCGTTTGTGGTTTAGGCAGCGCAGCGCTTGGATCAATAGTGATACTGTAGTAAGATCCAGTGCAGGTGTAAGGTTTGGCGTTGAGGGCGGAGGTTGGATTCTTGTGATAGGTATCCGCACGTCTTCTCCCCATCGGCCGTGATTATTGACTTTATACCTTTGCGGATGGCTGGTCTCCCTTGTCTAATGGCTTTCCTTTAGGAATTAGCAGCATGATGCCCTGCGAGGAGGAGCTTTTGGGCCTGAGCTCCTCGGGCAGCTCATCGCTTTTCCAGCTCTTCAGCTTCAAGCACCCGGGCAACATCAACTTCCAGCTCAAGGGCCTGCTGGACGGCAACAGTCCCTGGGAGAGCTTGGGAGCTTTAGGGCCCTTTAGGGGCTTTCACATCTTTGATTTTTAAAATGCAATTACCAGCCCTACGCCTCCCAAAGCATATAGCCAACAGCTGAATCCTTATGCGGCTTGCTGGGTAGGCACCTAGGCCTCGAGCTCGGCATGCGCATGGGCTTCGGGCCTTTCGAGTCCGAGGAGAAGAAGCTCAAGCTCGTGGACATCGTAGACCAGCTCCAGGGGCTTGGAATCAGTTCTCCCTTTTCTCAGGGCCAGGACGCCTTTATTCTGTTGGCCTTCCAGAATAAGATGATGAGAGAGTGTTTCAGGTTGTGAAGCAAGATCGAAGGTTCGCTGTGACCCTGAACGCTTTGCCCTTCGTGTCCTCGAAGAGCAAGGAGAAGGCTTTGGATGCCCTCCGCTCCTTCTCCACAAACTATGTGCCGCCCACGGTCTTCGAGCCGGGCACCATGGTCGCCCTTTACAGCAAGAAACTGAGCTGTGAATTTGGAAAGCTGTGAGGGTCTGCAGAGTCCAGTCTAGGGATAAAGCTCTGTGAATTTGCATCTTAGAGTAGTCAAGAAATCCCCTAGATCAGCTGAGGAAGCACAGGCGATACATCAAGGTCTCGAACAGGCGACGAGGTAGGGATCTGGGGTCGACCGGAAAAATGAATGCTCGAGACCTGAAGAAAACGTGGGATCGCGAGTACTTCACCGTCGTGGATGCAGGCAACGGGGAAGTCGCATTTCACAACCCGAGGTTCAACCGCTTCATCAGGATGCAGTCTAAGACGAACATGGACATGAGCGGCGACAGGGCGACGCTCCCAGGCGGTTGGAAATCTGAGCGATTCACGCCTGTGAATGCGGGTAAAGGCGAGATCGCTCTTTATTGCCGAGCACATCGCCGCTTCGTGCAGATGCGGCCGGATGGCTCCATGAGGACGAAAGACAAAGACTTGAATGCCGACGACCTGTCTCCCACTTGGACATACGAGCGCTTCACCGTGGTCCAAGGCCATCCTTACTTTTACCTGGAGCCCGGGTCTGTCGTTGCTTTCCGGTGCAACAAGCACCACCGCTTCATGCGCATGACTTCGGGAGGCATGTCTCGCAGTGCGATCCATGGAGCTTACAAACCCAGTTCGCGTCGGTCGTACACGTATTTCAAGGTAGTAGATGCGGGTGGTGGTCTCATTGCTCTTCACAGTGCCAAGTACAATCGCTTCGTGGCAATGACAAGCGACGGCGCGGTGAGGGCAACTCGGCGTGATCTTGGAAACCGTCTTTCCCTTCTGGCATGCCGGTACCATAAGACCCAGGAAGCGGCGAAAACGACCGCGCAATGGGCAAATCGTAGCGAGCTCATGCTCAAGTGTGGTCAATGGTAGGAATATGTGACTGGATTCAGGATTGCAAACTGTTCTAATTTTCCCATACGGTGGGTCCAAGACCGGCTAAGGCCAGCGCCAAAAAGTCTGCGCTCGAGCTGCCCGACGACTGGACCAGCCTGCGGTTCGCGGTGGTGCCGGCCGGGAACGAGCAGATTGCTTTGCACAACCCCTGGAGGGGCCGCTTCATCTCCATGTCGACCAAAGTCACTGGGTCGAGCTTGGAATGGACTCTTGCGTTTTGGAGTGCAAAATTTGCTAAAATGCCTGTAGAGACAGCCAGAGTATGGTGCTTATGAGGGCATCCAACAGCAGTGCAGGACATGGTGTCAAGTGGGAGCAAGAAAGCACAAGACTTGCCTGGCCGCTGGAGCTGGGAACGATTCAAGGTCTGGCTGTTTTGAACCTACAGCCCACAGGGGTGATAAGGGACAGTGCAAGTGTACACAAGCATGTAAGGAAGGCAAGTCAGTGGAAATTGAGTAGTTGGACATGCGAGCAAGCGAGATTCATGCAGGTTTACCTGGTATCCAGCCCCTCGAGAGCGTCGAGCCACACAGGGGCCTTTGAGGGTGCAGGTCCCGATTGAAGTTTTGAAGGAACGCCAAGTCACCGGTCAGTCTTTGGAAACATAGCCATGGCCGAGTTCGTAGATCTATTTAATTTGTCTGCTGAGTCTACCGCGGCTTTCGATGCAGGTTTAGAGGTTTCTCAGCCTGTCGTCGAGCGTCCTGGTGCAGGGTTGGACCGCTCCCGCAGCTTGAGATTTTAAACCCAAGAAGCAGCCGGAAATCGAGTTGTCTCAGACACCCGTTTCTAATGCAGGAGTGGCACACTGCAGAGTGGAGTAAAACGAGTCCGAGTGCGCTTGATCACAACGTGTCGCTGTTCTTCGACCTGCTGTTATCTACACTGCGTCCCGGAGGAACTCTTTCATGCTGTCTGTACCTTTCAGCTTGATGCCAATGGGCTGTCTATCCAGGTTCTCCGTAAGCAAGCGCCATCTTTGCTTTCGCTCTCATCATGACCATCATCATCATCATCACCATCATCATCACCATCATCATCATCATTCAGCATCACAGGCAAATTCCTTGTCCACTCAGGATCACGACTCTTCTAGCCTTTTCCCACTACCCCAGGAGCAGGCTCGAGCAAGAGAATCCACTTTCAAGCAGCAGGAAGCATAATCACAAAGCCACTTTTCGGGTGCATGTAGAGAGTATGCCTTTCGTGAGCGTCCGCTGTCCACAACCCGTCGGCTGCAGAACACCGCGGCGCAGGAGTGCGGCTTGGCCAAGGCTGTGTGTGCGTAGCAGGAGTGGGGACGTGTAAGGATGCGTTTACATCGCTCTGGTTTTCGTAGACCTATAGCCGTTGGGCTCTAGTCTGGGTTTGCATGGCTTCTGAGATAGCCCCGGGACGCCACATTAACAGAAACCGGTCGTGCTGGGATGTGGGCCAATTCACAGGAGACCGGAGAACCTGCAGCCAGCAGGCCAGAGCATGGTGCGGAGGGGGAATTCGAGGATGTGGTAAAACCCAATGGTAGTGACTATCTTGCAACTTGCACGATGAACAGTCGAGGGCGCCCAAGGTCTTTGGAAGTTTCGCTTTGCTGTTGCAACTTGCTGATGCGGTCTTACAGCGACCAGGTGCGTGTGCTTGTTTTAGCGGGCACGCAGTAGTTCGAAAATTGCCCTGAACTTTCAGCTTTGGTTCAAGACGTGCCTCGGCAGTAGTTTGGCTTAGCCATGTCTGCTGGGGGGAACAAGTATGTGACTGTGGCGAGTGGGAAGGATGGTGGGGCGGTGCAATGCTGTTTCTATGGCTGGATTATTGTGTTTGCCTGCATCCTCTGTAAGATCTTCAAGGTGCAAGGACCGGACCCAAGTGTCCCATCTTTTGATGCCCTTTTGTTCAGGTCTGCTCTAGGACTCTAGGCATAGGCTGGGATGAACTGAGAAGCGTATGATTTTTGAGCCCATCCAAGCCGGAGGAGAGAACAAGGTCATGACTTACACTGTGCCTCACTTGATGGAAGAGTTCCAGTTCTCGCATGCTCATCTTGGGGGCTTCTTCTCAGCTGCAACGATCATGGCTGGCACGGCTCAGCCCATGCTCGGTAAGGCCGTGGATTATTTTGGTGGACGGATTTGCATCTCGCTGCTGCAGCTCGCCATAGGCGCCTCACTCGCAGTCTTTGCTCACTGGTATTGCACGGAGAACAAGCCGTTGCTTCGCACGGAGGCCAGAGCCTGAGCCACTTGCACCTTCCCGGAAAACTTCAGTTTTTCGGTGCCCGCGCCTTGCTTCAGCAGGTTTGCAAGCATGCTGTGCTTCTTGAATGCCCCAACCATCCTGAAGCCCAGAAGATCTTCGGACCTTTGCCTTGTGAAGACGCCTCGCATTTCCACCGTTTGCCATCAGTCAGGCGGTCTCGGTCTTCTTCTTGCTGCGGATCTTGTGCCTGGGCGCAGGGGAGACGTTTCCCAACGCCCTTGTGCAGCAATGGTTCCACAAGAAGCGTGGCCGTGCCATCGGCGTAATTTTTACAACCCAATGGCTCGGCCAGGCTCTCTTTGGCACATTCATTGCGGGTATCGTAGATCGTTACGGTTGGCGTGAGGCCGCTATGCTGGGAGCGGCTGTGAATCTGGCATTGGCACCCGTGAGCCTACTGCTGCTGAGGAGGAGCCCTGAGGTTTGTGGCTTGATGCCGGATGGATCCACCCCAAAAGATTCGGCAATCATGATTGTGGCGGAAGAAGCTCCTGAGACAAAGGATAACTTGAAGGAGGAGGAAACACCGACTGATTTGCGGAAGTTTTGGGCCCACTTTGGACTTACTTTCTTCTATGCAATGATGTTTGGTGGCTCTGATTTCTACATGGTGGAGATCATTGAAGAGGCCTCGCCAATGCCAGAAGTTTCTGCAGTGTCGGTGCCCTGGCACATCTTCACTCCTTTGGCTGTGGTCACTTCGATCGCACTTCCGGCTGTGGGTGAGTTGATGGATGCACACAGTAGCCGCTCAAAGTGGCTGCCGCCAGGTCTCCTTGCCTTAGCATGCATCCTCGGATCCATAGCTACACTGATGCTCTCCTCGATCAGAAGTTGGTTTGCAGCAGTTTGTTACGGTGTGCTGCGTGGGATCAGCACGGGAATCTTGCAGACCTTGCTCTTGGCAGGCTTGTGTTTTTCTGCCCAGGGAGTCAGTCGAGCGGAGATCGGTCGTATTCTGGGCTCTAATTTGTTGTGCAACTTGGTCGGCACAGGAAGTGCGCCCTTCCTGTTCGGCATCTGCCGGGATCTTTTCGGCAGCTTTGGTGTCAGCCTTTGCGTGCCGAGCGTGCCCATGCTGCTCCTGGCAGTCTACTTTGCTCATCAGGCCTTGTGGTTTAAGACCGACGGAAGTGCAGTCCAAGGCCTTGTGGTTTAAGACCGACGGGCCTTGTTCATTTAGGACGACAGGCAGACCAGGGGGAGAGACAAAGAAGCTTGGTCGTTCAGTCACTTGCGCTTGGGGTGATTGCTAATGCTGCTAATGACTTGTTTCCGCTGAGTTGCTCTCTGTCGCATACTGAGACTCGTGTGCATACATCGGTGATAGCGATCAACAAATATCGTAGAATTGTATATGCATGTGTGTATATATGTAACCGAATGTTGCCTTGCTCAGCGACTTTCTCTTTCAAATCACGCGTCAGAACAAGAACGAGAATCAAGAGTTTCTCAAACTGTCGCTGCCGGCGACCGGCGAGGCAGGGCGAGACTCTTGTGAAGTTGATCGCACATCATCGTTTGCGATGGATTATGCCTCTCAACCTGGCCTTGGCGACGATGAGTATCCGGGATTTCCTGCTGAGGAGTGCCCCGCTCAGTGCCCGGACCTTTCGGCGCACAACTCGATCATGGCAGAATTGCTCCGACAGAACCCTACCATGTACGCTGAGCTCAAGGGCAAGAAGACGACTGCTGGCATTACGCTTGCGAAGTGCATCAAGACCGGCATGGATAATAAAGGACATCCCATGATCAAGACCGTGGGCATGGTTGCTGGTGACGAGGAGTCCTACGACGTGTTCAAAGCACTTTTCGACCCAGTCATTGAGGAGCGTCACGCTGGCTATAAGCCTGGTGCTAGACATCCGACAGATCTTGACGGCTCCAAACTCAGTCCAGTTCCTATGGATCCCACTGGGAAGTACGTGATCTCGACTCGAGTGCGTACTGGCCGCTCTATCCGTGGATTTCGCCTGCCCCCAAGCTGCTCAAGAGAGGAGCGCCGTGAGGTGGAGCGCTTGGTCGTCCAGGCGCTGAAGTCTCTGAGTGGAGAACTTTCTGGTGATTATTACCCTCTATGTGGCTCTCAATCCTATGCTGAGAAGGCTGGTGGCATGACCCAGGAGCAGGAAAATCAAATGCGGAAGGATCACTTCCTCTTCCAGGAGCCAGACTCGACTCTGCTGCTTTCCTCCGGTATGGGCAGACATTGGCCCGATGCTCGTGGCATCTTCACTAACGAAAAGAAGAACTTCTTGGTCTGGCTGAACGAGGAAGACCACACTCGAATTATCTCAATGCAGATGGGCGCTGACATGAAGGAAGTTTTTGCTCGCTTCTGCACGGCTGTGAACGCAGTTCATGAGGCCGTCAAGAAAGCGGGGCGGGACTTTATGTACAACGAGCATCTTGGCTATGTGCTGACCTGCCCTTCGAACCTCGGCACGGGTCTGCGTGCTTCTGTATTGGTGAAGCTGCCACATCTGTCAGCTCGCTCTGATTTCAAGGAGATTTGCAGGAAGATGAAGCTGCAGGTTCGCGGCGGTGCTGGTGTCGACTCGGCCTCCTCCGGAGGTGTGTACGATGTCTCTAACCTCTACCGACTGGGTATCTCAGAGGTGGAGCTGGTGAATGTCGTGATCGAAGGTTGCGCCAAGCTTGTGAAGATGGAGCAGTCTCTCGAGAAGGGTGAGTCGTTGGATTCGCTCCCCTGAAACGAGTGCTTCTTGTTTTAGGCCCTGCCGGGCAAGGGATGCAGCGCGTGGATCGTTCTTTTAACTACCCACACTCCCGTGAAACGGGTGCGAGGGTACAAGCGGCCATGCAGAACGGTGCGTTCCTAAAGCTTCAATTTTTTCAAGAAATCGCAACACGCCTCACCAAAAGCCTTCCAACATCTTGATGGCAAAGCGTCAAGTGCCGGGACCCCTACTCACTGCTCACCCAACGCGCTCTTCCTAACCGTGGGCGCAGGGTCCAGTAAACCCGGAGCCCCAACTCCTAGCCCCTAAACGTTTACTGTACAAGCCCTAAACCTTTATAAACCCTGAACATCCCTGAACCCTAAACCCCAACCCCCCAAGCTGGAGTCGATGGGTCACACTACCCAGGCCGAGAATCAGGGCTTTCAGGGTTTAGTGGTTTAGGGACTCGGGTTGTTTAGGGATTTGGTGGCCTTGGGTTTTAATTTTTGGCGTAGAGATTTAATGGTTCTGGGGTTTAGGGGTTCAGTGGGTTTTAGGGTGGAGGGTTTGGCTGAGAGAAGTCAGACTCAAGTGGTTCCAAGTCAAGGGTTTCAGGAATTTAAGGGTTAATGGGGTTTCGGGTGTAAGGCTTTACGGTTTCATAGATTTCGGAGTTTGGGGTTGGGGCTTAGCGACCTAGCGGTTTGGGCTGTAGGCATCTAGGGTGGGATGCAAGGTCTGTATGCGAGCTGATAAAGGGGCTTGTACTGCTTGTATTAGTTGGGCTTTCATGTGGGTTTCATTTGAGTTGTCGGGTCGATCCAGTGGCATGACTGCAAAACGAAGGATGCCTTACCTACGGGTACTCAAGGTAAGGAAACTCCAAAAACGATCTGAGAGGATATGTCTGTGTGACTTCCCTAAACCCTGAACCTCTTAAACCTTTAAACCCCAAATTAAACCCCTCAAGGCTCTCAGGAGGTCTTCACTTCAAAAAGATTAGGGTCTGTGTGGTTCGGGCGAGTGGGTCGAAGATCTCGGCTGAGGATTCAGTATTCAAGTTTGTGGGCCCGTAAGACTGTGCCAACAGCTCTAGACTTCCGGAACTATTTTGTAAGTTTGACTTGGCCTAAGGCTGTGCAGATTCCAACCGGCACAGCTAAGCTTCGGCATGCTTCGGCGCTGTGTTCGCAGCATGTGTGTCGCGTTCAGGGTGCACGCTGCTGCCTTCAGCATCTTTCAACACAGGTGGTGCTGCATGGAGATGACGTGGATGCCCAGACAGCAGAGATTTGGCAAGGTATTCTGCAGGAGCGTGCTTGATTTAGGCTGTAACTAGATAACACTGGCTTTGGGGTAGCAACACGAGCGTCAATGATTATAGCATTGAGGTATGCGGGTACAGCGATCTAGAAATTTTGGGTGCACATATAGTCATCAGGACTTAGGTGCCAAGCCTTGGGGTTTAGGTTTCAGTTGGACGAGGTGGGGTCTGAAGTGTTTGTCTGGGCGGGTGAGCACATGCGTGTGGGTGCCCTCTCTCTTAAGAGTTTGATTTCCTTAGTTGGGGAAGCGGGCATGAGTGACAAGAATCCTTCGGACAAGGGTGGCCTTTAGGATGTGAAGTTTCAGGGCTCTTGGTCAACATCTATCTACCTTACCCAGAAACAACAACGAAAGCAAGCATGCACACGGGGCCTTGTAGTCGCCTTCTTGAAGCCGCAGAAAACCCGAAACCCTAAACCCAAGAGCCTATGCCCTAAACCCTCCAGCCGAAGCCCTAAACCTACACCCCGAAGCCCCTAAACCCTAAACCCTATAGTTTCAAGACCCCTATTCCTAACTCTTATACCAGCCCCTGTAGTAACCAAAGGCCCAAGATGCCCCCAAGAAGCAAAATCCAAGGAGCGCTGGGATCTCCTCAACCGCTGCTTCGAAGACAAAGAGCGGCTTCGAGCAGCCCGGCATCGCAAAAGGGACGATCTCGACACAAGGAACCGACCTCTTGCTCCAGTTCTAAACCCGCTCTCTGCCCAAACTCAGATTTCTGTCGAAGTTTCCTGCATCTTCTGGGGTTTGGATCTTTCGATGATGAATGCCTGAGCCCCGCACTTTCCTGCCTCCCTCGAGGCGTTGGGTCCGGCGAGACGAGGCAGAGCCTCGGACGTGTCGGTGCTTTTGTAGGGGTCTGCTTACGTCCCCAACTTCGTCTGGATGGGGGACTTGAAGGAAAGACAAGCATTTACCATTCCTCGAAGTCAACTCCCTTCTAGTGCCAACATGGTTTGCACAGCATCAATCTCAAGGAGCATGGATGGTGGAGGCACATGGGAGTTGGAAGCTGGTCCAAGAGCTGCTTCAGTGGCCTATGAAGTCCACGTAACGTACGAATGATTGTCCCTGTCGTGACTTCAGAGAAGTGCCAGGAAGCGCCGAGAGCAGCTTGAAGTCTTGAAGGACTTATGTGACGAAGGTTGCTGTAGCTGCTGTTGAACTGCATCCTTGTGCAAGTGCCTGAAGTTCCATTGCCCTCAGTGCTGCGCAAGTGCTGCATGTGCCGAAGAGTTGGCTGCAAAGCTCGGCCGGACTCGCCCAGCGCCCCCCAGCGGTCTCGAGCAAAACATGTTTCCCAAGCACTTCATGACCGCCGCCCGGATTTCCCGGCCAGCCATCCTCTGCTGCCGGCCGCGTTTTGTCGTGCAGATTGCTTCAAAGTGCCAGAAGGCGGTGACTGCCAAGGGCTACGCGGAGCTGCCTAGCGCAGCGGAGCGCGGCCGCTGGGTGGCGGAGAAAGAGCAGCTCACAGAGGAGCGCCTTGACATTGAGGGGCACCCGGTGATGCAGCGCTGGGAGACACCTTACATGGGTAAGCTGGCCGAGGTGGCTACACGCAACGGCGGCCGTGTTGTGGAAGTGGGCTTTGGCATGGCCATAAGTGCCAAAGCGGTACAGTCTTACCCGATCGAGGAGCACATCATCTTGGAGGCCAACCGCGATGTCTTCAAGCGCCTTGAGGACTTCGCGAAGGGCGCGACCTCCAAGGTGACGCCCATGGGCCCGGAGCTGTGGCAGACTTCCATCAAACGCATCCCCGACAACTCGGTGGACGGCATTTTGTACGATACTTATCCGCTGAACAAGGAGGAGCAGCACACGCACCAGTTTGACTTCTTGCGGGAGGCGCGCCGCATCTTGAAGCCCGGCGGCATCATGACCTACTGCAACTTGACGTCGCTGGGCGTTCTACGCCACGAGTATGCCTCGTGGCATGAGCTCTTCGAGGCCACCCAGAAGCCGCACCTGCTAGCAGCCGGGTACCATGCGGACGAGCTTTTGGTGGAGGCCTTCCCTGTTGAGCCCCCGAGGGACTGCGAGTACTACTCCCACGACACGGCAATGGTGCCGATCATCCGAAAACGTGGAAAGGCCAGTGCCAGCAGTGCCGGCTGCCATCCCCGCCATGTCCTCGGCACCCGCCGGAGCTTTTCGTCATGGCGCCAGCAGTCACCATGGAAAGGGCACCGTAGCTTTGGCACCGAAGTGAACCACGCAGCGGCCCAGCACAAGAAGAGCCCCAAGGCCGACGGCCGCAAGCTCAACGCATGGACACAATGGGGCGAGCTCAAAGAGTGTGTGGTGGGTGTGGCTGACAATGCCTGCTTCCCACCGGTCCAGCCGGCCATGATCCCAGAGATCAACGACCCTATGCTGCGCAAGGTGCTGGGAGAGTGGCCCCGTGGCCGCAAGTCTCAGCGATGTGTCGATGCGGCCAACGAAGAGCTGGATAACCTCGTCAACGTGTTGGAGGGCGAGGGTGTGAAGACGCTGCGGCCGGAGGTCATGGATTGGAGTCAGCCGCTGAATACGCCCTTCTTTTCGGTTGAGAACCAGTACGTGGCCTGCTGCGTTCGCGACACCATCATCACCGTCGGCAAAACCGCCATCGAGGCGACCATGAGCCGTCGTGACCGGTATTTTGAGATCTTGGCAGTGCGCCAGATCCTGCGGGATCTCTGGCGTGAGGACCCGGAGATGCTCTGGAAGGCGGCGCCCAAGCCCAGCATGGCAGACGACATGTACAACCTCTCCTGGTGGGATTGGACTGAAAAAGATCGCTACGAGCACATGCACAAGTATCAGTATTGCATCACCAACGAAGAGCCCCTCTTCGATGCGGCGGATATCACCCGTTGTGGCAAAGATATTTTCGTGCAGCCCTCAATGACCTGCAACTACGCGGGCATCGAGTGGCTGCGTCGGGAGCTGGCGCCGCAGGGCATCCGAGTGCCCTGCACGCAAACTCAAGTCGGGACAGTTGCACTATGTTTGGGGTTTCTGGGCAATTTGGTTGTGGTTACAGTGTGTCTTGGGTTAAGCGTGTTTGGTTACATGACAGCCCTGACACAATCTCAAGGTGCACTCAGCACACTTCCCCTACGACCTGGCGCCGTCGCACATCGACTGCACCTTCGTCGTCCTCGGACCGCGGCTGGTGCTCACCAACCCTGAGCGGCCCATCGCGGAGAGGGATGCTGCGTTCTGGAAGGAGAACGGCTGGGACTTCGTGGACTGTGGCCAGCCAGACAACCCGGAGCGCCCAGCTTTCTCGCAGAGTTCCAAGTGGCTAAGCATGAACATTTTTGTCATCGGCCCGAGCAAGGTCATTGTTGAGGAGCAGGAAAAAGGTTTGCAGGAGCTACTGAAGCATCGATGTGGCTTTGAGACGGTCATCCCCGTACCCTTCCGTAACGTCTTCGAGTATGGGGGGTCCCTGCACTGCTCCACTTGGGACACGTGCCGTGAGGACAACATGGTCGACCTCTTCCCCAAGCAGCGCGACAACGACCCTGCTCTCTTCGAGCAGCACCTGTCGTGAGTCACACTGAAGACCCAGACCACCCAATCCGGGGTCGGGGTAGCGTTATATACTGTGTTTTATATACTGTGTTTTACAGGCTGTACGCAGGTTTGCGGCCTTCGGACTTTGAGTCCCGCCGTACATTGATTTGCAGTCACAGACCAATACAAATGCTATGAAGTTCGTAGAATGTGGATAACCACGGTAGCCTGTCTGCATGTGCCACCTTCTGTTGCCTCCATCGCGCTGGAGGTTGGCGGCATTTGTAGTGCATGTTACGTCTTGGATGTGTAGCATGGAATTGAATTGCCTGCATCGAAACGAAGCTGTGCATCGTTGTGCATCAAGCGCTTGTGGACTGGATGCTTAACTCTACAGAGAGTTGGCTTGCATGCCGCAGGATGTCCCCTGCGAAATTGTCCTAGAAGCCAGGACAGGGGATGTGGTTTTCGGTGATTCTCGCTTGCTGTGCTTTGCTATGATCCTGATAAACTGTTTAGCCCACTGAATGCACCGGTCCTGAGGTTGCGTGTTGGGGTTCAAGTCCATACAGGAGTCGAAGTTATTGCGCATCTGGGATCATGTGGGCAGCTGGATCGTGATTGGGAGTGTTGAGGCATGTTGGGGCTTGGGTAGGGTGGAATGTCTCCGGGGTTTGGCAAAAGGCGCACGGCTCCACAACGTGCCGCGGTACCCAGGGTCGGCATGGGGAATTTGTGATGATAACTGGGATAGAATAGAATCTTTTATATGAAGTGTTTCGGTGGACTTCGCATACTCCGCTGCACTTTCGGTAGTTTCCATATTTTGTCCCTTTGAACCGAAGCTGCAACTTGCGAGGGTCTGGTGGGGACGAAGTTCTCGCTGCGCGCCGCATACGGTACGCGTCCCAGACACGGTCAGGAGTCAATGATTTTTAGGTTGTGGTAGAACGAATCCTGCATACTTTCATGCGCAAGAAGATGACTAAGAACCAACCAACGTATGTTATGAAAATGGAGAACAATGACCTGTGGCTCTGTCACAGGTCCATGTATATACCTTTGAGTACATATATACATACATGCTCATATACCTCTGTGTATGCTTTTGGTCTATGTGTCCCTGAGTAGTTTTATTTGTCAGACGAAGAGATGAGCCCCTGTAGATAGACGGGCCTACTCATGGATGAACGAATAATAGGTAACTAAACAAAACAGCGCGATATATTCAATCTGTCTCTAGGTTGTAAGGAAACAACCTCATCCGTGGCAGCCAACCTTAGCGACAAGATCAAGCAAGCAAAGACCACGAACTCACAAGATGATAACAAGGAACACGCTCCATAGGCTTGTCGAAGAAATTTCCTTGCTTAGGCTATGCCTATAGAGATAACGTGCAAACATGGAGTGAGTTCATGATATGTAGTGTACCTATATTTATACACACACATACATATGTATGCATATACATGAGTATATATGAATGTGCATGCCCATTTGCTGCTAGGGAAATATGCGGTATGTGATGAAGAGGATTATTATCAGGCAGAGCTTCCAGTCCATTTGCCCCCATATATAGAGAGATACTTCTCGCACGGTAGCAATTGCAGATCTGTACAGATTTTGGGTTCAGGGGTTTAGGTTTGCGTACATGCCAAACCCAGAATGCCTAATCAAGCCCAAAACCGACTCCAGACGTCCAAGTCCTGAGTCTCGAAGGTCATGGAAAGAACCCTAGAACCTTACGCCGACAATAACTTCAAATTTCCACATCACACACACACAGGCCAGAGCAACAACTCCAACCCTATGCTCTCTCTATGATTGTCCTTGCGGCGACAGAAGCTCCACCGGTGGCACGTCCACAACTCTCCGCTCCGGGGAGTCGGCACCAAGCACGCTGCAATCCTTCCTTACGTCTGGTGCAGTCACATAGTAAATCTCAGAGACCTAAATCCACAAGAACTTCTCGACGAGAAACCCCGGCTCAGAGTCAACAGTTGCAGTGACACTAACTCTAAATCCAAAACCCTACACACCAAAGGTTTATCCAACTCTACGCTTGGCTGTTCAGTAACCCAACTGGGGAAAAGGTAACCTCTTGGCGCTAGTCATATTCTGACCGAAACTCAGAGGCAAAAAACATGTGTATCACTGAACTACCCCTTAAACCCTAAACTCTGAACAGTAAACCCCTAAACCCTAAACAGTAAACCTCACAACCCTAAACCCTGAACAGTAAACCCCTAAACCCTAAACCCTACCTAGTAATCCACAGACGACCCAACGCAGCCCCAAGGATTGGGCGAAGGGAAGCGGAGCTCCAAACCCCGAACCCCAAAGCAAATACTTATTCGTAGCAGATGTAGGGTTTAGGGGTTTAGGGGTTTAAGGTTTAGGGCTTGGGGTTTAGGGCATCATTCATTGGGATTCCTGTTCATGTGCAATCTCTATGTTTAAAATTCGGAGTACTATGCATTAGGGTTCTTGGTCATAGTTCTTTAGCATACGAACGGACACACAAGACTATGTCTCAAGGCATCTTGCCCTAAGGCCCAAAATAGCCCAAAAGCTTTATATAGTATGGTCTTTGGGGCCAACAGCCTTACAATATGAGTCTTTAGAGCTTTAGGCGTAAGGCCCTGCCAAAGGATCCGGATACTGTGGGACCCTCAAAGCCAGGGCTTCTGAGACCTCAAAGACACCCGAAGATTGTCCTACTCTCGCAAGCAGATACCAGGATCCTCAGGGTAGCTGAATTCGACCCAAAACCCTAGCCCCAGACTCTAAACCCTGCAAGCGGATGAAGCTCGCACGGTGTCCTCTGGCAGCCCTAGCTTGTTTCACCTCACAGCAATCCAGTCTCTCCGATATGGCCTGTCGAAAGAGACACCTACGAAGACCCCTGACTGGTTCTAAGCCGTTTGGCAGTAAAAGTAGCTGCGAAGCCATGAAGAAGCATTCACGGGTGAGCACATGTGCCGTTGCACTTGCATCCCACCCAGTCGTAATGACGAAGAAGACTCAAACATCATGAAGATTGCTGAAGCTCTGCTGCGGCGGTGCTGTTCTGTTGCAAGGGGTCCAGACCTTCGACGCGTCGGCGGCGAGCTGACCTCATCTGATCATCCTCTACGATTCTCCATTGATAGCCCATCCGGTAGAAGCGATCCAGCTCCTGATTCCCATTGGCCTTGGTCAACGAGTTGCCAAGCTGAGCCTCCGAATGCACCCACCGGATCTGAACCTGAGTGCGGTTTTGAGCTTCCTTCAAGGAAAGAAGCTCCAGGTTGGCACGCTTCTCTGCGCCTCGGATGCTTACGACCTCAGTCTGTAGTTTATCGTATACATTTCTGGAGTCTGTCACCACACAGCCAGAAACACGTCTAACCACTGCGCAGGGATCCTTGGTATCCACCTGTCCAAACAACATCTCCGAAAGCTGGTACCTGGCATAAAACAATTCGTCTTCACCGTTCACAGCTGCCAAAGTCTCGGCAGCACCAGGACTTCTACACACACGCTCCACCTTGTGCGACGACCAGACGACAGGTGTCACAGGACAGACGTGGCCTTGTAGCATAGACAAGGGTGCCAAGCCTATGAAGAGGCCTGCAGTACTGCCACCATCATGCCGGTTTTGACTGGCAGCATCTACCCAGGCGAACAACCCCAGTTCCTCCTGAGGAGGGAAGCTGTGGATGAGCATCTTATGCTCACGTGCGCTGCAGGAGTGCGTTAGCTCGTAGCAAGGTCCCAACTGTGCTGGTGTTTGTCTCCGACAAAAGAAGTCCAACCTCGGCTGACACGTGAGGTGCCACTTGCTGGCCGTGCCAGCTCAAAGCACCCAAGAGTGACCTCAGCTGGGTTTTCTCCCACCCTGTGGTGGAGCTGTTCTGATCTCGCCTGCGATTGCTGTTGACAGGAATTTCGGGGATGTCTTCCACGTAGTGGGGTTGAGAAAGTTCAAAGCCCTCCTCTGTCTTTTGCACTCGCACGCCGCACTGCACGAAGTCGTTCTTATCCCAATCTCCCCACTTGAAACGTTCTTTGATCTGTTGGATAATTGAACACCATGCTGAAGACTCCGACCCTGTGAACAAGAAGTCGTCGACGTGTCCAGAAACCAGTCCTTGGACACGACCATCTTCACGCCACACCCATGTACACGGATCCGACCACAACCTTTCTAGCCCCAATGTTTGCAGAAAATCATGAACTGTACGGTACCATTCCAATGGAGCGTCTACCAGGCCGTAACAAGCCTTGCGTAGACGTGTGATTGATCCAGCAGGTATGTTCATCTGAGTGCAGATTTCTGGGCACGGTATGCAATACAGCTCTGAAGGGTAATCTCTGCCTTGCAAGAACGCTCCAGACACATCTCCTTTAAAGATGTTCCACTTGTTGTTGGCTGCAATCTGGATGAGCAATTGTCTGGAGCTTCGAGTCATAACAGGTGCCGTAGTGGATCTATGTTCATAGCAAGGGTCTTGATACCCTAAAAGGACGGCCCTGGCCTTCGCCTTGCGAGAGCCGTCTTCTTTCACCTTCCACGTCAGCACCCATCGCATGCCAATTGCCTGCTCCTTAGACGGTTGCAGGTGCTGAGGAAGCGCCTCGAAGGCGCCTGCACTGATGAAATTCCGAACCTCCACCAACTTGGCCGCTTGAAACTCCTCAAACTCTTGAGGAGACAGTCGTCGTTCGGAAACTTCCACTGCTTGGCGCTTCATCGCGCCTACAAAGTAGTTGCCCAAATCTTTGGTGACCTTGGCCTACTGATTCCCTGTCTGTGGCATGTCGATGGCGATCTCCACTGCCGCCTGAGATTGATTCCAGAAGGCGGTGGCCTGACTAGGCCACGACTCCTCAGGCACAGCGTGATACCAGCACTCCGCCTTCAATGCCTGACTACCAGAATCACGGCGCGCTCGCTGCGCGACGCGTGGTCCTGATGATGGCGCCGACGGGGTGTGATCATCCTCCATCTCGTCCGGTGGTTCCTGCGGTGCTTCCGGTGCGCCGCGTTTGCCTCGTACTCGAAACCGCGTTGGCGGGGCTTCCTCACGTAGGTCTTGCGCTCGTTCCCACTCCATAGGAGTGGGGGCCTCGCCAGTGAGGTTCAGGTATTGGTTGCCTCCCAATTCCTCGGCTAGCCGAGTGAAAGTCCAAGGTGTACTGGGCTCGCCTCTTGATCCTTGGCCAATGTTTCCAGTAACTCCTCACGTTCCGACGCATGCCTCAACTGCTCCACGCTGCACTTGATCAGTTGACGTCCTCGCACACACCACACGTTGCTGCCCGGTTTGAGCATCCCATCGGCTTGACGAGTCTCCACCGCCAGTATCCTGGCGGGCCCCAAAAACCGGCCGGTCTTGTGGCCTGGCTGCTTGCGTCCTTGACCTGACTCCTGTGACCGCCAAAAATAAATCAAATCCCCTGGACTGTAATCTGCAGGGGGCCTTGGCCTCGAATTGAGCGCCCTGCTGATCCGTTGGCCTGCGTGCCACTCTGCGTGTGCCTTCTCAGCCTCTGCTCGAAGCCTCGCCGAGGCCTCGAACTCATCCGAGGGGTTCTCTATAATTCGATCGTCCGGTATGGGTTGGCTAGTCTCCACTAGCCTTCCCGTGACATCCGGAGCCCTGCCGAAAGCATGTTGCACCGGAGAAAACCCTCTAATCTGATCCCTGTGGTTGAACACCGAGATGGCCATGGTCAAAACAACTTCGGGCGTAAGTTCGGGATCATCAGCACACAACTTGTCAAGCACGGATTTCACACCTTGAATGGCCTGTTCACATACTCCAATCTGCCAGTGAGCATCAGCAGGTATGTTGTCTAAGAAGATGTTTTCTTTGTCACAAAAGTCAATGATACCTTGACTTCTCAGGGCCCCAGCAGGATCCAACCGAAGAGTCCGTGGCATGCCAAAATACTGTGCCCAACCCTCGCGGATGTACTGAATGCAAGTGGCCGTGTTGGGCTGCTGCTTTGAACCCTTGCTAAGAATCTTGGCAACCCTGAACCTAGATCCCTCGTCAATCAGCAACAAGAACTGAACATGTTCGCCTGTTTGGGGATGCTTCCAGTGTCCTAGATCCGCCGAAAGAGTGTGCCACTTTGGGGGAAGAGCTTCGAGGGACGCTAAGTGGCGTGGTTTCACCCGACATCGTTCTTGACAAACCGAGCATTTGAAATCCCGGGCAAGCTGAAGCACCTCTTCACTAGCGTTCCTCCTCTTAAGAACCTCAACCAGAGACCTCACACTCGCGTGACCTGTGGCAGCATGAAGAAGGTACAGCTGTTTCTTAATCCAGCCTGCCTCTGCGTTTCACTCTGGAGGGGCCTGATGGGGGCTTGAGCTCTGGACCCTACGCTAGGGGTGTCATTCGCCAAGGCGCTGTCACTCCTACGGGGCAACCGAAACCCACAATTCTGAAGTTCCCGTCTCAAGTCCGAATCCACAAGACTATGACCCCGACTTACGTAGAGACACACGGTGTTTCGACGTCCTTCCCAAGATTCAGGTCCATGCCATGCCTTAGGTGGGAAGTGAGCCACCTGATGTTGCGTCGCCAGCCAGTGCCCTCGCCGCTGCTCGCCGTTGGGCAGCGCCTCGAGAGCACCGCTCTCCGGATTTCCGGGTTCATGAGGGTAGAGGTTTTCTACCCAAAGTCGTCCGCCTTGATACTCACTTACACCTATCATCCAGTTGTCGTAGGCTTCGTCGTTATGCACATCCCTATGTTTGTCGCATCGTTGATTCAAGTTCACTACCAGAGAAGTGGCCACAGGGAGGCTACCGGCCCAATGCTTGAAGTACTCAAGAAGATAGCGAATCACCTGAGGAAGTTGACGGGTCACACGGGTGATACCATAGTGATTACCGTGGGAATACAAGCCAAAGGTAATGTACTTCCGGGGATCCATACCAGGAACTGCCAGGAACATTGCTTGAGGTCACTTCATTGCTACCTGGAAACATCTCGAGTAAGGTGTTGCAGGCCTGGTGTCTATAGTCTTTGCCTTGTCTCAGTTGACGCGCGTGCTGTTCCAATTGAGAAAGCTCGGCTTGGCTGTACAAGGCGGGGCTTGAGGCTTCAGGTCCTATGCTTGGGCTCTCGAAGGAATAGGAACAGCTTCAGGGTGCTCGGGAGTCTCAGAACTTATGCTGGGGCCTTCAGTGTTCTCAGGTTTTGAGCCTAAGCAGAAAGCACACTGTCGAGGTCGCCCCGGCAGATGCACTTCAGAGCATGTGCAACACAACCCTTCCCCGAATTGCACGGGTAGCACGCTTGTTCCATGACACTCCTGCGCCACGGTGGTGTGATCCAGTTCCTGAAGGATTGCCTTTGCCGCTCTTCGAGTGTATTCTGAGGTATATGTGTCACTTTTGCCAGCACTGGCACCTTCACAACGACCATGCTTATATGACTTTTGGCAATGGCAACCAAGATACAAGAGACTCGCGAGTCGCTTCTGAGTCGTCAAGATCTTCCATCCCTTCTGCATCAAAGGACCCTCCGAACTAGACCGCAAACCCACTCTGCAACCCTTCGTAACAGCACTGTACAGTTGGTACTTACTTTGCAATCGCTGAAAGATGGGAAGCCTCCAAGCCTGACATCGCTCTGACATCTCCAAAGTCACATGAATTCCCTGTTGAACACAAGCATGGAAGATCACGCAGGCTCCAACATAGGCACGCATGGCTGCTTCCCGTTTGCGCTGCAAGGTTTCAGCTTGTTGAGGATTTTGGGCGTTGGCGTTTTGCAGGGTGCAGTAAGGTCCTACGGGAGGGGCCAGCCACACATGAGTAGGTCGTTCTGTCTCCAGCAGCCTCAGTGCTGCTCGCACTCCACTATCTAAGCTTAGGTCCGTGCCATCCCAAGGGCCCGTGCAGCGAGCTGCACTGGAGTCAGAGCTGAGCGACTGAATCGTGGTCGTCAGTCTACTATCAGGAGCGCAGGCTATTTCCAACAACACCTTTCGTTCAGTAGTCAACAACTCCTGTAACAACCCTGGAACTACACCCCAAGCCACTTCTTCTAAGTGCCGAGCCTTGGACAAACTCAGTTGCTGGCTAAGCTTCTGGGAAGCACTAAGGTTCTGACACGCTCCTGACTCATCTTCACTCATGCCGCACTCGACTTTGCCGTCGAGACCCGCTGTGGAGAGATCATCGCAAAAGAGCCATCGGTCTCGGGCATCTCTTCCTCCTTGTCCTTCCCTTTCTTGCGCGCCGGCTGGCGCTCGTCCTTCAGGTTCTGTACCTCGGCGCTTAGCTCTTTGATCACCGCCGTCAAGGCATCCAAGCGCTCGTCCTTGTTCTCGCTGGACAGCGCCGTGCTCTGGATGTCCTTGTAGCCGCTCTTCTGCAGGAGGCTCAGAATGGGTCGTCCCATCTGTCGACTGGACTCTGGCTTGAGCTCCTCCTCGTCCTGCTTCTGAATCCACCGAGCAAGCCGTCGAAGGCGAAAGTCGCTCTTCTCCTGTCGCTCGTGGGCCGTTTCCACTACCCAACGACAGTAGCCCTTGTCCTGGTCGTAGAGCTCCTGGTAGGTGAGCAACCCGTGTTTCCCGAACGACACCAAATCGCGGAAGTCGCCCTCGGTGATCTCGAGAACCCTCTTCAAGCCCTCCATCTGGATGCGGTTCATGGTCCACTTGTCGATGTTGGAAATCCCTAGCTCCTGCTCGCAGAAGCTCACCAGATCCGCCTTGCGGCGATTGGCTGCCGCATTCAACTTCTTCGTGAGCTGCTGGGCGGGCGACACATCCTGGTGCTTGGACTTCACGTTCTTGGACAAGTCCTCGCCAGTCAATTCTTCCAACCGCACACGGATCTCTGCACGGGTCCAGGTCTTGGGCGCTGTCTCGCCCAACTGAGCCAGAGCTGCACGTAGCTCCTCGAGCTTCAGGTCGGCCATGATGGAGTTCCCGAAGAGGAGGATCGGAAGGAGGGTTGATGCTTGTTTGCTTGGGCGCTGCTGCTGAAACAGTAACCGCACATGTTGAGTCTACATCATCATCACGACTGTTAACATTAGCTGCACATCCACAACCCGTTTCGGCTGTAGTTAACCCCTGTCTTGAAAAACTGCACATGACCTTCCCTTTTCCGTCAAGACTCGGATCAGGAAGGAGTTGTCCCTACTCGACAGCTACGCTAGAAGGCTCTACAGCAAACTTCGTCTTAAAAACTCTAGCGTTCGCAGCTGAAGAGGAGGTCACGGGATCTTCACCGTCGACCCCGAGAGGCTTCACAAGGGGAACATCAGTCGGCTGACAAAACGCCTTTAGTGAGGGCACGGCTGTATGAGCATCCACCGCACCTGCAAGGATATCACCAGTCAAGGGGAGCAGGAGGTGGCCACTATTCGACTGCTCGAGCTGGAGAATCTTCTTGGGGTCCACGTTTCGGAAGACCACGCAGTCCTCTGAGAAATCCAGGATCGCCCCCAAGGAGCGAAGAGCATTCACACTCAAAAGCACTGGTGCTGAGCCGCGGTCCAGCGCATGGATCTTGATCACGCCTGGTCTCCCGGCTGCTGCTACCTTGAGGTGAAGTGTGGACACACATTGGTCCTCCGACGAGTTGCCGAAGGAGAACAGGGGACGATCATTGACGTCCACCCGGCTAACACCATGCTGACTGTGCTTCATGATATTCTCAAGTGCCACAACTGAACCCAAGGATTTGGTAGCCCCACAGTCCAGCACCGCCTGGCCGGCTTCCACCGCGTCTGCTGTGGAGATGCCTTCAGCGGCACACACCTCTGTTTGCATCGCCGTTTCATTTTCCGCAAAGCAGATGAAGGGAGCCATCTCCATGGGCTTGGCTCCTTGTGGCACCGGCGCTGGGCACACTGCTGCTCGATGACCTTGCTTGCCGCATCGCATACAGGTAATGCCCTCATCGCGGGAGCCTGAGGTTGCGGATCGCTGTGGAGGCCCTGAACGATAGTATTGACGGTTTTGCTTGACTTGCTTCTGTCGTTCTCGAGCCCCCTTAAGAGTTCGTCGAGCATGTTGTAGTGTAGCCAGAGCCTGTTGTGCTTCGTGTTCTCCTTCACTCCACATAGCCCAGCCTTCTTCTGTAAGCTCGGCCTCGGCATTGAAGGAGGTCTCTGGGTACTCTGAGGTCTCATCGAAGCCATCGTCATCATCAGGCGTGGAGCCCCAGAAACTGTGGTGTTTCTTGTGTGCATCCTTCTTCTTGAGCTCATGGTCGGGGAACTGATTTCGGAGTTCCTGTGCCACTCGTTGGAGTGACATATCACCTTGAGTAGCCACCACAACCGAATTCCGATCTGCTGCTTCCAGACTGGCATCCTGTAGAAGCATCCATGCCTGTACGAACTCGGGTACCAGATCTGGTAACTTCTGAACCGTTCGGCTCCGGCTGGAGCTCCATGTCGACTCCCACTCCCAAGGAGAGCCGCCGCTCCAGTTCCAGCTTGAATGGCTCTGCCACCAAGAACTGCCCCAGCTCTGTCGAGGCCAGGTTTCGGTCTCCGGCTCAGCTGCTGCATCTGCTGTCGGTGCTGCCGCGGCCGTGGGCGCCGCTGCTTGGAACTCGGTATTGGCCTCGCTGTCCGGTTCAGTTCCAACCTCGGCGCTCTGCCAAGATTCACCACTCATCCGACGTCCTGAGCGAGGAAGGGGTGACTGCCACTGCCACGAAGTCACTCCGGTACGCGGTGCCTCATGATGAGGCTGAAGTCTGCTCATGGCCTGTTGGGCCAGCTCACACTTCCGACTAATGTAGTCTCCCATCGTCTCACCTGGTCTCCTCTTTGAAGACTTGAAGTACTTGGCCAGGAGCTCCGTGAGCTCCGGCACTTGCGGCTTGCCAAGGCAGCGCCGCAAGTGATCGAGGAGAAAGGTGACGCCGCCATTGTAAGACACCCACTCTGGATCTTGTCCAACGATCAATCGTCTGGCTGAACCTTGAAGTTCTGAGAGAAGCCTGGGTGCTACCAGGTAGCGCTTATGGTAAGGGGTAGTCTGCTCAAAGAGCAATGCCGACTCCCTATAAGCCTGGTAGGTCTCCGCCGAGCCATCCCAGCTCGGTACACCCTCTCTGCCCTTCAAGGCGCCAGCGGTGTTCACGTCAGTCGCCATCCGCTTGGAGTTCTCGCCGCGGGTCAATACCGGCGACGAGCCGTAGGTCCCTGGAATCGAAAAAGGCTTTGAGCTCACTTGAGCTCCGCTACCATGCAAGCGGATGAAGCTCGCACGGTGTCCTCTGGCAGCCCTAGCTTGTTTCACCGCACAGCAATCCAGTCTCTCCGATATGGCCTGTCGAAAGAGGCACCTACGAAGACCCCTGACTGGTTCTAAGCCGTTTGGCAGTAAAAGTAGCTGCGAAGCCATGAAGAAGCATTCACGGGTGAGCACATGTGCCGTTGCACTTGCAAACCCTAAACCCCACACCCTAAATCCTAAAAACCCTAAACCCTAGATCGTAAACTTCTGGATTCAAGCAAGACAGCGCAGGCCTTTGGCTCACACTCAAGAACCTGGGATTCACTTCGCTTCGGGGCATCGAAGGCTTGGACCTAAACTTCAGGTTTAGGATATATGGCATTGCGTTGAGGGGTTGAGGGGTTTAGGATTTCTGGGCTTCGGTTTAATTTACCTGAGCTTCTTATTCTGGGGGTGTAATTATAGAAGACAGGTACCAAATTTCAGGGTCTCGGTGCGAACTCGGGCTGAAAGCCTTGGGGTTGTTTGTTTAGGCTTTAAGGGTTTCACTTGCGGGTTTAGGATTTAGAGCGTGGCTCAAGGTGTTGGCAGGGTTTCTAGGATGGAAACGAAAGCTTCCTTGCACAGGAATTACGGTGTAGAGCGCAGGGTCCTCTTTTGCGCAAACCCGGCGGGTCCATCTAAGGCATAACTATGATTCAGGGTTCGCGGTTACTTTTGCATCTTGACTCCATGTTGCCTGCATTTTTAGAGCTTCTACATCTTGCTTCCCTGAGAGGCACTTATCTGGCTGTGCCCTCAGCCCCTAAACCCTAAACCCTAGAGGTTTGCAGGAATTAAGTCCATGAGCCCTGAGCCCCAAGCTCGGTTCCCTCGCAACATTTGGAAACGCAAACACACGCTGCAAGAAAACGAAACATGTCTTTGGGCGTTTGAACATACATGTCGAACACATCTGAATCTACACACTGTTCCAATAAAGGCTTTGGGTTTCCCACTACTATAGGGCTCCCGGGCCCCACTTCAGAATCTGAAGAGGGTAAACCGTCATGCGGCCTACGAGCTTGATGAGAACCCACTGGAGTTTGGAGTATCCGATGGAGGGCGCAGGAGGGATCAGGGTTTAGGGCTTAGAATATGAAGAGGGCTTTGCTGTGTGAAGCATGGGCCAGTGAATAATGGCTGAAAACTCGGGAGAAGCAAACTTAGTAGTCATGAGGTCCCTCCAAGCGGCTCGAACAAAAACCATCAACCCTAAACCCTAACCCTTAAACCCCAAACCCTTGATTTGGGGAGCCCCTCCAAGCGGCTCTTTGAAGACGGACATGGCCCGTGGGTCAGGCCAAAAGCTGAACCCTTTCATGTCCATGATGACCACCTTAGGCTTCATCTGGCAGGTTCTAGGGTTCAGGGTTTAGGGTTTAGGGGGTCTAGGGTTTCAGGGTCTAGAGTTTAGGGACCACCTTGAGCCTTTTTCGCGATGAAGCCTAACTTAGGCTTCATCTCGACAAAGGATCGAGTCTCGTGGTTTAGGGTCTGCCTGGGCCGTAAACAACCTACTTTTATACCCGAAACCCCTAAACCCTAAACCGTTCATGCAGTGCGGTCAGGGTGTAAAGTTCAGAGCTTTCAAAGACTGACGTTTTTTGGCGCGAACCTCGAGACTTCCAAATCCTTCAATGCCGTAGTCAAAATGGGCTTTGGAGTCGTTGGGAACCCTAACCCAGTGGATCCATGTGCACTACTACTATGGAATTAGGTCCCAAGAGACCATCCTTACTGTGGTTTTGGGGACTTAATTCCATAATAGTAGTGTACATGGACCCTCTTGGTAAGCCTAATCTTTGAAAATGACGTTTAGGGTTTAGTGCTGACACCCCTCCACCACCCTGCAGGCGGCTCCACAATCTGGCTACAGGAGGCTTGGCCACTGCGAAGTATTCTTGGTAGGACTGCTTTCTGGTAGGTTTGTCGCGGTCGCAGGTGGTTCTCAACCTCATGAAGGGGAGGGAGGGGGGTAGGGGGAAAATTTGGGGGACGGGGGGTTTTGCTAATCCGATAGTAATCCTACGATAATCATGAGCGAGCATTGATAATCCAAGGATAGCTGAGGGTTTCAGGATTTGTCTTTTCTGTTCAATCCTACGATATTCCTACTCTTATTCTAAGCTTATCCTTGACTTATCTGAGCGCTTGGATTAACCTCGGATTGCCACAGGGTGCAGGATTTACGTAGGCTTGTCATCCATGACTTATCCTTGACTTATCCGGGCTGCGGAGTTCTCGTAGGACAGTCGGAGGATTATGCCACAGGGTGGCACTGCAACTCCCACCACGCACCCACCATACCCCCACCACACCCCCGCCAGGCAGCCCAGGATAAGTGCAGCATTAGCACAGGATTTGCGTAGGATTTACGCAGGATACCGAGGGTAGGCGAGGATCGGCCCAGGATTATATTGCAGGATTGGCGCAGGATATCGAGGGTAGGCGAGGATTGGCCCAGGATTAGTCCAGGATTATATTGCAGGATGAGCGCAGGATACCGAGGGCAAGCGAGGATTGGCCCAAGAGTAGTGCAGGATTAGTCCAGGATTAGCGCAGGATTAGTGCAGGGTAGGGAAGGATTTGCGCAGGATCAGCGCAGGATTAGTAGAAACCACTAAGAGTGCCAAAACACGACCAGAAAACCCAGCAAAATCAGCTACGCTTCTCACAC